TTATTTGGCACAGGCAAATGGGGTGCTGGTGAAACAAAGAAAGGTTGAGTCAGGTTCAAGTTAGATATTAATATCTGCAGTACTACTGAATGCTTTGCTTCATATAGAGAAGATTTTCCTCTAAACAGTGCAACTCACCTCCATAATAGTCGTTTCCCCAGAAGGTCAAAACATTGTTTTAATACTCAAATTGTAAAATATTCAAACCCTCTCAGAAATAATGGCCTGACTGATGATACTAAATTTGACAGTCAATAAAATGATATGAAAATTAACTGATTCCAGTTTGATTTGTTCAGCTACAATTAAAAATATGAGGCAGGATAGTTAACATGTTAAATACAACTGTAGGAAGGGGAGTGTGAAAAAAGGCCACATTTGAAAATAAAAAGTGTGGTAGCACAGTTTCATTTCATTTACTTAGTACAATAAATCAGTTTTATCCCACACAGTGAATGTGCAGAGAAAAAGGAGTGAATGATTATCTTTACCAGTAGGACATGACAAATCCTTCTACAGAAGGAGACTAAATAGACACAAAAGAGGCTGAGTGCCCATGATGTCACTGATTATGCTGGTCGGTACTCTCTCCCTCCTCCCTCCCCTTCTCTTTCTCCTCCTGCCTCTCTTTATCTCTCTCTCTCACTGCTGTCATTGGGAGAAAGCTTGGGAGTGGCAGGAAGGAGGTGAGGCAGGAGAGAAAGAAGAAGAGAGAGGAGGATGACGACAGAGAGGTTGAGCAACTGTATGCAAATCAGGATTTTCCTGAAGCTTTACACGGCATCCTTTACTGCAGCAGGTACACTTTCTTTTATGGCATCACTGTTCATGCGACAGTATTTGCTGTAATGCAGCCAAGGGGCAGTGGAAATAGTCTTAGCAACAGAAAACAATGCTTAGGACTAGATATTTGAAAGCAGCCATAACTGTGTAATTAGGTGCTTCCTGAAAATGTCGAAAGGACAAAATTTACATATGAAATAGTTAGAAGAGTTAGCTTGTTAATAATATTTTTTTTTTCAGAAATGTATCAATATCAATCTTGTATTGATGTCACTGTTTATTAACTGAATGCACATCCTTATTTTTGTCAGCCTGGCCAGCAGATAGCCGTAACAGTCACAGTGATGGATAGGTCTGTGCTGGTTTGTGTGCATGTGCATGG